ATGTGTGGGATCCTTTGTGTTATGCAGCTGGACCTAAATCTGATTTTCTGGAATGTTCCATGCATCTTATGATGCATCCACCCTCTTGACTAGTACTTTATGACACGCTGGATTACCTCTGTTTGCTTTTCTTAATCCAGCAATCTGGCTTGGAGATTTGACCTCTTGGGCAGCCTGGCGTGGTGGGATGTCCCCGTGCCCCAGACTACAAACCTGTTCCTCCTCTTGGTCCCTGTCTCAGAGGGGACCCCCCCACACCCCAGGCTCCCAGAGAGAATCCTGGGCTTCGCCTCTGCTGCCTCCCTCCCCATCCCCACCCATCATCTTCCACAGCCAGACCACCATGACTCCTGGTCATCTCTCCCATCTGCCCCCTGCTCACCTTTCATGGCCCTGCCTTGGTCCAACCCTGTCCTCTCCTGCCTTCTCTCTGCCTGGCCTCCCATCTCACCCTTTAACCCACCTCCACCTGACAGTGGAGGGGTTTCATGAAGCACAAATCTGATCATGTCAGCCTTTCCGTGTTTCTCCAGTGTCTGCAGGGCGAAGTCCTAACTCCTGGACTGATGCTGGAGGCTTGGTGTGATCTAGTTCCTGACCACTACCTAGCCGGTCTCCCTGAGCTCCAGACCCACTGAACTGTTTCTTTGAATGTGGCCAGCTCTCACCTGGGCCTCTGTGTGGACCCTCGCCCAGCCCGTCCTGCCCCACTTTCTTCCCACTCATATAATTTTAAGACACTCCCAGATCATCATCTGTAAGGATGATGAATAAAACATAACCAGTGGTCATGAGTGCTGGATGTAGGGGAGGGGAGATTTACTTACAATTTTTTGCAGCGGGCATGTTGGCATTGAATACTAACATAACACCAGCAGCTGCCGGGGGAGAAAATGTTAAGAAAAAAAATCACATTGTGTTTAAGAGGAAGAAACCTTTCAGGAATTATTTGTATTACCTTAAAAAATTCTACAGCAGCAGGAAGAGGACAGAGGTCTATTTCTCTGTGCACTGGGACGGTCACCCTAGAAGGGACTTTCAAGCTTCTAAGCTTCCTTCTGAAATCATATCCACTTAGGGAATTTTCTACCATTAATTTTCATAGCTACCATTAAAAACACCACTTACGTAATTTAGACGGTGTCTCCCAAGCATTGGCGCAGCTGACTTACATAAAAGGGGTTCTGTAAGGGCAAAGGAAGGATCCTGAAGGGCATTGGTGTTGGGAGAATTTTTGTCATCTACTCTCTTATTGGCGACTGTTGGAACAGTGAATTCTGTGTACGGGAACCGTCGATGCATTCACTGTGAGCCCCTGTGCAGTGTTAAATCTGGCTGGCACGTGCTTCAGTCATCTCTGCCAGCGTTTACGTGGCACATCTTCATCCCAGGCACCAGTCCAAGCCCTTCGCCTGCGTTAATTCAGCGATCACCTCACACAGCCCTCAGGAGGCAGCCACTGTCAGGATCCCAGCTTTTCAGGGAGGCGTTTAGAGCTGAAATCAGTTGCTTCAAGTTCCATAGCTAGTAAGTGGCAGCCCTGGGACTGGAGCCCAGGAATAGGGCTGGGTCCATGGTCTGTGCCTCAGCACTCTTCCTACTGGACACCATTCTTAAAGGAGATGCTCCCGTTCCCGATAGTGCAGGTTCCTTTCAGAAGAAGGGCTTAAATTACTTTCTTCTCCAGCTGCCAAAAATCTTTTTCCAACATCCCTAGTTATTTGAATTTGAAGGAAAACACTTTTTTTTAGGGGAAATTCCAAAACATACAACAGTGGAGAGAAAAGTCTCATGAACACCCATGTCCCCCTCACCCAGCTTCAGCAGCTCCCAGCATGTGGCCATTCTTGTCCCCTCTGTGTCCTGCACGCCCTGTCCCCCCGACCCCACTCAATTATTGTAAAGCAAGTCTAGGTGTCTCTTATTGAAAGACCTCGTCTTCAGAGAAGAGGTAACCTTCAGTTCCTGGCCCCATGTCCTCCCTCTGCTGGTCAACTGCCCACCTCCCTGATGCTCTGTTCCCGCTCCTCCTCATTTTCCAAACGCCACAGATCTGGGCAGGGGCAATGCTCTCACTGGCTCTGTCCCTGGCCCACTTCCTGTAACCCTGCCCCCTTCCCCAGGCACTTCTCCACGTTGCTCTGAAGCCTGAAAGTGATCCCTTTTGGTGGCCGTGGACAGGCTGGTGTTGCTTGGCAGGCCGTCCCCTGCAATGGGACATTTAATCTGCGTGTGGCTTTTTGCCATAATAGTGGCCGCTTCCTTATTTGGGTTATTTTCTGGATGCCCCCTCCACTCCCTCCAGGTCAGGCCTCCGTAACGCTCCTCGCACACTGTAACTGCACATCAAGCACATCGCGTTGACCATAGTCGAGATGAAACAGGGATTTGGGTACTTACCTGTTAATTGCCTAGGAGCACCATGAGGGCAGGAGTCAGGTCTGTCTTTGTCCCTGCAGTGTCCCCAGCATCATCCAGCACAGAGCCTGGCACACAGTAGGCGCTCAGTAATGAATGAATGAATGATTGCCAAGGTCAGTATCTGGGCTTTTATCCTGAGGGCAGTACAAAGCCACAGAAGTGTTTTAGGCAGAACTGGGCCCGCTTTCTCAAACTGATGTGTATATAAATCCCTTGGGAGCTTGTTAAAAATGCAGATTCTGAGTCAGTGGGTCTGGGGAGGGGCCTGAGATTCCGTATTTCTAATAAGCTCCCAAGTGATGCCGATGCTTTGAGTGACCAGGGTCTTGCTGTGCTGTTCAGTGCAGCAGCCACCGGCCATATGTGGCTGTTGAGGATTTGAAATGTGGCTGGTGTGACCTGAGCTGTACCTGAAGTGTGAAATACCCACCAGATTTCAAAGACTTAGTACAAAAAAAGAGAATGTAAAGTATCTCATTAATAGTTTTTATATTGATCATATGTTAATATGGTAATATTTTGGATATATTGGGTTAAATAAAATATATTAAAATTAAATTTTACCTGTTTTTGTTTGTTTGTTTTGAATGGCTACTAGCTATACACTTACTAGAAATTTTTAAATTACATTGTGGTTCTCCTGTTTCTGTTGGATTGTGCTGGTCTAGAACACTCCAGACCCCCTGTCACCTCTAAGCATTTGTACATCCTCTTCCTTTTTGAAGCACCTCTCCCCTACACCCTCCTCACAACTAATTTCATACATCTTTCAGGTCTCAGTTAAGATGCCTCCTCCTCTGGGAAGCTCTCCTTAATCCCCCAGGATGGTTCGGGTGTCTCTTCCAGGCTTCTGCAGCTCTTTGGGTTTCCCCAACCCCAACCCCAACCCCGACCATCTGTGATGACAGCATCTAAATGTCTGTCTCCCTCTTTAGACAGATAAATCCATGAGGATGGGGACAAAGTCTGTTCTGGTCACCACTATATATCTGCAGAACCTGACACAGGGTCAGTAAATATCTGTTAACCGAATTAAGACAAGTGAGATGTGGGTCCATGCACATTTTCGACTCTTGAACCAGACCATGAAGCCAGCTCTGGAGGTCTTGTTTTTGATGGGCCCTGACACCAGCACAGTATCCTGAACTGCCTTCACCTTACTGGGTGTAGTAGGTATGTTGTGGGTTCATCAGCCTCTGTAGGACTGTCCTGCAGCTGTCCCTGAGTGACCCTGGAGCTCCTGGGATTTATCCTCTGCTGGTGTCCCATTTCTGAATGAGGACTTATTTTTTTGTTTTATAATTTCTTTCAGCTCTTTTTTGTACAACACAGATTTTGATAAAGACTTTTACCAGTCTGAGATTTCCCTAATTTTTTTAAGTTCATTAGAAACATTGCTCTTAAGATATAGTAATTAATAGCCTAATGGCCTTTTCCTTTGAGATTATTCTGTTGCTCCAATAGTTTTGTAATTCACTTGATATGAAAAGATGCTCAACCTCGTCAATTATCAGGGAAGGACAAATGAGGACCCCACTGAGACCGCCTTCCTCTCATGCCAGTCTGCTTGCCCAGATGCCCCACTGCCGTATCTCTGATTTTGGCAAGATCGTCACCTTGGTTCCCACACTCTCTCCGTACCCTGATACCATGTCCCTCCTTTTTCATCCCCATCCTTCCCACTGTCCCACCCATCATAAAGATTCATCACTACCAGCAAGCCCTGAATTCCCTTTCTCCTCTTTTGGTCCCATCCATCTCACTAAAAGCCAGCCCTTAAACATCTAAAGTTAAAAAAAAAAAAAAAAAGCCACACTGAGATTCTGTTTTACACCTCAAATTGACAGATAACCCGAGGTGAAGATGGGAATTGGCAGGACGTCTCATACACAGCTGGTGGGAGTGCGAACTAGTACAACCCTCTGGAAAATAGCTGCATATTATCTGGAAAAATTCAACCAAGTTGAAGATTTGAGTCCCTCACTCCTCAGCATCTCCATTCTCACATACTGGAGAAGAGACTTAGGCACATGCACCGGGTGAGGCTACCAAGGTTTGTGATAGCACTGACGGCACAAAATTGGAAACAGACCTGACGGCCGTTGAAAGGCAAATGGATAAACTATAATCCACATGATGGAATATTATGCAGCAGTGAAAGGAAAGGAACTACGGATGCACGAGAAAAATAATGTGAATAGAGCAAAATTCACAACATCACATAGAGGATAATGCTGTTTTTATAAAGCTCAAAACCAAGCACATAGAAACGTTAAAGCATTCGAAAATGTGTGATAAAACTATCTCAAAATTAGCAAGGGGAGAGGGAACTTTTTGGGATTCGTTGCATTGTTCACCTTCAACATGTATCTTATTGCATGTAAGTTATACCTCAGTAAAGCTAACAACAGCAGGGGAGCAGGAAGGACAAACTCCTTGTTCTGCCTCTGGACATGCTGTGTAAGGAGGTGGTGCTGGGGGCAGATGCCACCACCTGGTGACTCACCTGATGCTGAGGACGTCAGGGCAGAAAAAAGGACCTGAGCGCCTTGTCAACATTTAAGGGACTTCACTTTCTTTGCTGTATCTCCAGTTCCTAGAACTGTGCCTGGTGATTAGTTAGCACTCAGTAAATATACGTATTTTTTAAACTAAACTTCTTATTGAAGTAAAATATAATTAGATTTTCTTAGATGTTTGAATGTCACAACCCTGAAACACCCTACCTCTGGATTTCCTGCTATGTGAAATAATGAAAACAATTTGAAATAATAAAATAATTTCCTTCTGATCAAGCCCTTTGGATCTGGCTCCTCTTACCTGCAGCCAAACACATCTTCACTAGTGACCCGCACGGTGAGTTAGCGCTAACATTTTAGGGGTGTTAAAAAAAATTTAACTGAATAAATTTGAAGATCTAACTGGCTTTATTTAAAAATCCATGAATTGAGCTGTATCCTATCTGGCAAACGGAGAGATACTCCTAGAAGTTCCACAACGTGGAAGACTTTTATAGTACGGAGGGTGGGACAAGGAAAGGAAGTTATCAGCAAGGAACTGGAAGAAAACAAAAGTTCAGGTGACACTCACACCACTGCCGTTGGACGTCAGCAGGGTCTGCAGTAATGTGAGGGCCCTACTGGCTGGCTGTCAAGATTTTACCTTTTTGTTGTTAAGTAAACTTTTTTACTGGAGTATAACACATACCGTAAAGTGCACAGATCTTTAGTGCAGGTGAATTCATTTCCACATCCAGTTCCTACCCAGTGGCTAGGATATTGAAGTGAGCAAGACAGATTGGCACGTGACCCCATAGAACTCAGGGTCACAGGCCTAGTGACCAAGAGGGTTCTGGTTCTCTAGGGTTTTTCAAGACCCAATGTTTTTAGATGTAGGAAAATATTAAAGTATTTATAAAGTTTTATCTCAAAGCATTTCGCTTTTAGTGCATGTTTTATATTGTATATATTAATACAGAGCAACTCAAGTTACACAGCACATCCACATGCATATACATATCCTGGAGACGTGCCCATAAACTTCTGTGGGGTATGTAGTCAAAAAGGTTTGAAGTCGTCTGGCCTAGGGTTGGGGGAGGGGTAAAACACCTAAACAGAACAATTTAAGGTAAGGTGAGATGTACTATTATCAAGGAATCACTAGGCCCTGTGGTGCCGAGAGGACTAAGGTCAAGGAGGAGGTGCGGGATGTCACTCCTGGCGTTCCGGAGGAGAGGACGGAAGAGCTAAGATATGAAGGGTAAGGGAAAGTCTGGAACTGCATGTGCAGAGACCCCACAAATGACATGGTGGTATACTTAAAAAATTATGCAACTGGGGCGAGGGTACAGCTCAGTGGTAGAGCGCATGCTTAGCATGCACGAGGTCCTGGGTTCAATCCCCAGTACCTCCATTAAATAAAAATATGTATATGCAAATGATCAAGAAATAGAGCATATTAAGAGCCCCCTCACGCCCTCTCCCAGTCATGACCTCCCCGTGACATATTTTCCAAAAATGACTAACACTGTCCCCTGTTCCACAGACTCTCCTTACACCCTGCCACTCCCACACCAACAGGTGGAGCCAGTGGCCAAATCCTCTTGACCCTGGGCAGGCATTTATGACCAAGGTGGCCAAGGGTATGGTGGAATTGACACTATGTGGCACCTGAGGCTAGGTCATAAAAGATACAGCTTGGTTCCTTCTCCCTCTGAATGTCCGCCTCTGGAACTGTGAGGAAGCCCAGGCCACGTGAACAGTTCACGTGCAAGCCTTCTGGCCGGTAGCCAGCATCCACCGCCAGACCTAGGAATGGAGACACCTTCAGAGTGACCCCAGCTCCAGCTCCCATCTGACCGTATTAGGCCGTTGTGAGAGGAGCACCTGCCTGAGAGTGAAGACAACACAGGAAGGAAGGCAGAGCCGAGAGGTGGGGAGAGAGAATCCTAACTCCTTGGCCCTGGGTCCACCTGTACCTGAAGGCAAATCTTACCTGTTTCAGTTAGATGAGTCTATAAATATATCTTTTTTGCTTTAAGCCAGTTTGAATTTGGGTTTTCTGTCATTTGTAGTCAAGAGTCCCAGCAGGGGGCTATGCACATGGAGTTTTTCCAAAAGCCCATTTGCTGGACTCAGTCCTCATGTGGAAAAGTCAGTAGAACAGTACAGACGTTCCCAGTGTGGACTCTGGACCACGGCCATCAGCATCACCTGGGACCTTGAGAAAAATGCAGGCGCTTAGGTTCAACCTTAGTGAACCACAGACCCAGAATGGGCTCCAGCAAGAGTGTCTGAAGAAGCCCGCCGGGCGCTGTGTGCCCAGTCACAGCCTCACCGCGGGCGAGCACAGCGGTGAAGACAGAGCGTATGCTTGAGGTTAGAATCATCTCTCCACCTCCATCTGGCTCTAATTTTCAGGGAGTTACAGAAACCATCCTGCTTCACGTTTCCCCTCTGTAAAATGGTGCACTTCTGTGTTGCAGCAGTGTTAGGTGGACCAGTGACTCGGCCAGAGGCAAATCATTCAAAACAGCGCCCGGCACAGACAACGCTCACTACAGTCAGACTCTGTTGGGCAGTAGAATCACCTTGGAGGGCTTGTTAAACCACTGACTGCTGGGCCCTCCCCTTCCCTCCGAATTCCTGATTCTCACTCAAGGGAGCCTGAAATTTTGCGTTTTAACTAGTGCCCGGCTCAGACTGGTGCTGCTGGTCCAGGGAACCCTACTTTGAGAACCACTGCATTAGATGTTATCGTCACTGGTCCCCAACTCCCTTTCTGGTGGTTCTGCAGTCACCTCAGGTGCTCTGGAATTGCCCTTTCCGCTGACTCAGGCTTCTCTCTCCTCCTCTCCCTCCCCTCTGGCATCAGTTATGACTGTTGGACTCTGTGCTGGTAACTGGAGCTCTGAGCCCAGCTTTCTGCTGAGAGTAGCCCCAGCCTCCACCTGTTCAGGGAACCTGATTGATGGTTCCTTCAACCACAACTGTTCCTTTTTCGGCAGCCTTCAGAACTGTCTCCAGCTTTCTTATATAAGCAGACACCTTTCCTCCTAACCTCGGGGAGGCGGCAGCTGCCACGTCGTTCCTGTCACTGGCTGGCCCTCCAAACCCATCCCCTCATACTCCACCCCCATCCCAGGTATTTCTTTGCTTTGCTAATATAAACGGCTTTAAATGCAGAGCTGATCCAGCTCCCCCCCAACAAGCTCCTCTGTAACTTGGCCTGTTAGCTAGAACAAGATGGTCAGTATGGCTGGAGCAGAGAGTGAGGGGCAGGACAGCAGGAGATGAGGCCAGACACGTAGGCAGCACACAGAGTGTACAAAGCTTTATGTGTCATGAGAAGAGCTTGAACTCTGTCCTAATAGTGGTAAAAAATTATTTTAATCATTTTTTTAAATTGTGACATATGGTATATCTGTATGTATACACACACGCACATTTAGACATGTATATGCATATACAGTTGAAAAAAATTATATACTAAACACACATGTAGCCACCACGTAGGCAAGAAAGGGGACACCGACAGTCAAAACCATCCCTAAAATTTGTGGGTCCTGGACCAACAGTACAAGTGGAGGCTCCCTGTCTCTAGTTCACACCCTTCTCTTCCCATGCCTGCCTGCATGAGGGGTCACCCATGCATATGTGTGGACACCCTAATCTGCACAGTGGAGCTTGACCCATCTCCCCAGACCACCTCTCGCCTACCCTCTGGGTCTAGAGGTGTGCACACCAACATGACCTGCCCTGGGTGTAGGGTGCAAGACGGACTGGGAAGACCCCCTACACAGGTGCTGGAAGCAGGTACAGGAACACTTGGGGAGGGGATTCTAGAGAACTGGGTACTCTGAGCATGGTCTGAAATTGCATTATCCAAGAAGGTAGCCATTAGTCACATATGGATATTTACATTTAATAAAAAATGAAATTTAAAATTGAGTTCCTCAGTTACACTAGCCACATTTTAAGTGCTCAGTAGCCATATCTGGCCAGTACCTATTGCACTGGACAGTGCAGATACAGAATGTCTATCATTGCAGAATTTTCTGCTGGACAGTGCTGGTTGGAAAGGAGGAATGGTTTGGGTTCTGTAAGACAGGAAAGTGTGACCCCTCCCCCCAAAAGAAAAAAAGCAGGTAGCAGAAGCTGCCTTTAAGAATGACCAGATGTTGGATGTTAACAGACAAAGCCTTCAAAATAGCCATTATATAAATATGTTCTAATGAATAAAAGGAATCATGACTTAACAAGTAAAAGGAAGGTATGATGGTAAAAACTGATCAAATTAAAAATATCAACAAAGAGTTAGACATTATAAAATAGGAACAAATGGAAATGCGGAGCTGAGAAGTAGAATAACTGAAATGAAAAATTTACTAGAGGCACTCAACAACAGATATAACTGACAGAAGAAATAATTAACAAATTTGATGGTAGATATTACGTAATCTAAAGAACAAAGAGAAAAAGGAATGAAGGAAAAAATGAACAGAGCCCCAGAGAAATATGGGACACCATTAAGCAAAACAGTGTACAGTTAACGGAATGTCAAAAGGAGAGAAGAGAAAGAAGAAACATTATTCTAAGAACTTATGGTGCACACACACATATATGCAAACACACATACACACACATTAGCACTGTTGGGTCTATAACAAACTGGTAATATAATTGCCAATAACCGCACAGAGGAAATACACTGGAGCAAAGTTGTACTGGGCTAAGGTGAGGACTCCAGATGAACAAGAACAAATGAAGAGAACCAGAAATGGTAAGTGAGAAGGTTAATATAACAATATCTGTAAGTATATGCTTGCTCTCCTTTCTTCTCTCAGTTTCTTTCAAAGACATAACATTATATAAAGTAATAATAAAAAACAATGAATTCTTGGTAACATTTATGGGTGTAATATGTATACCAATAATGCCACATAAAGGGGGGAAAAGTAATAGGACTCTGTAAGAGCAATGTTTCTACATTCCACTGGAATTAAGTTAGTATAAATCTGAAGCTCGCCCTGACTAGTTAAGATGTATGTGGTAAGCCACTTAGGCAACCACTAAGGAAATGACTCAAAAATTAATGAGAAAAAAATCAGCAAAGAAATTTAAATGCTACAGTAGAAATTATTCACTTAACGTAAAAGAAACCAGTAAAGGAAGATACAGGAGCAAAAAAAGTCATGAGACACATAGAAAATAAAAAGTGAAATGGCACATGTAAATCTAACTGTATCAACAATAACATTAAAAGGGAACAGATTAGACAATCCAATCAAAAGGCAGAGATTGTGGAAAAAAAATCAAGATCCAATGATATGCAGTTTACAGGAAACAAACTTTAGGTTCAAAGATACAAACAGATCAAAAATGATAGAATGAAAAAGATGTATCATGTAGGCAACCAACAAAAAGCTGAGTAGCTCACTAAAATCAGGTGAAACTGACTTTAAATTTAACATTTTACTAAAAGGAAAGAGGGACATTTTATAATGATAATCAAAAGTCAATCAGGAAGATACAACAATTATAAATGCATATGTACGTAACAATAGAGTTCCAAAATACATGAACCAAATACTCAGAAAGGAAGGGAGAAAAACACAATTCAACAATATTTAGAGACGTCAATACTTCACTTTCTATAATAACCAGAGCAACTAGGCAAAAGATCAACAAGGAAATAGAAGATTGGAGCAAGACTACAAACCAACTAGACCTAACAGGCAACTATAGAAAAGCAGCATATACATTCTTCTCAGATGCACATGGAACACTCTCCAGGATAAACTGTATGCTAGGCCACAGAACAAACCTTGACACATTTAAAGGGACAGGGATAATTCTCTGATGACAGTGGAATGAAATTAGATACCAGTAACAGAAAGAAATTTGGGAAACTCACAAGTAGAAATTAAACAATAGTCTCTTCAATAACCAAAAATGGAAATTAAAGGAAAATTAGAAAATACTTTGACATAAATGAAAATGAAGACATTATATACCAAAAGTTATAGGATGCTGCAAAAGCAGTACTTTGAGGAAAATTTAAACTTGTAACTACCTATATTAAAAAAGAATGATTGCAAATAAATAACTTAAACTTCTACCTCAAGACACTGAAAAAGGAGAGCAAACTACACTTGCAGCAGACAGAAGGAAGAAAATAATAAAGATTAGGACAGAAACAGGTGAAATAGAAAACAGAAAAATAATCGTGAAAAATCAGAAAAACCAACAGTTGGCTCATTTAAAGATCAAGATATTGCAATAATATTAGCTAGATATACCAAAAAGAAAAAAAAAGCAAGTAGACTGAAATGATTAGAATCAGAACTGAAAGAGGGGACATTACTACCAACCATACAGAAATAAAAAGGAATATTATGAACTGTATGTCAATATTATTAGATAATTTATATGAAAAACAAATTCCTAGAAAGACACTAACTACTGAAACCAAGTCAAGAAGAGATAGGACATCTGAACAGACCCAAAGCAAGTAAAAATGTTTAATTTATAATCTAAAACCTAACCAGAAAGAAAAGCCTAGACTCAGATGGCTTTATCACTAAATTCTACCAAACATTTAAAGAAGAATTAAATATCATTTCTTCACAAAGTTTCCAATAAATAGGAGGGAATGCTTCCCAACTCATTCTATGAGGCCAATATTACCCTGTTACCCCAGTTAGACAAAGACATCACAATAAAAGAAAACTACAGGCCAGGAGCTCTTATGAATACTGATGCAGATGCAAAAAGCTTCACATATTAGCAAACCAAATCCAGCAACATATAAAAAGTACTATACATTAAGAACAAGTGAACACTAGTGAACTCATCTACAAAACAGAAACAGACTCACAGACATACAGACATAGTAAACAATCTTATGGTTACCGTTGAAGGGGGAAGGGCGTGGGAAGGGATGAATTTGGGAGCTCTAGATTTGCAAATTTTAACTGCTATATATAAAAATAGATTAAAAAAAACAAATTTCTTCTGTACAGGACAGGGAACTATATTCAATATCTTGTAATAAGCTTTAATGAAAAAGAATATGAAAATGAATATATGTATGACTGAAACATGATGCTGTACCCAGAGACTGACACACTGTAACTGACTATACTTAAATTGAAGAAAAAAAAAAAGTGAAACTGTCCTTTGCCTTCTAGCTCTGGTTGGAGGGGAAGGTTCCACGTG